CGCAGCAGAATGGGATTGCTGAGCGCCGCATTGGCATGGTCATGGACGTCGCTCGTACGTCCATGATGCATGCGGCTGCTCCCCATTTTCTGTGGCCGTTTGCGGTCAGGTACGCTGCGCACCAGATCAACCTCCACCCCAGGGTCTCTCGACCGGAGACCTCCCCAGCCCTGCTGTGGACGGGGAAGGTTGGCGATGCGTCGGCGTTCCGGGTCTGGGGATCTCGGGCGTTTGTTCGCGACCTGTCTGCAGACAAGCTGTCCCCTCGTGCTTCTCCCTGCGTCTTCCTGGGGTTCCCCCCCGACGCCCCGGGGTGGCAGTTTTACCACCCCACCTCTCGACGTGTTCTGTCCTCCCAGGACGTCACGTTCGACGAGTCGGTACCCTACTACCGCCTCTTCCCCTACCGCACTCCGTCCCTCCCCCCACCCCCGCTCTTCTTGGTACCAGGTCCCCCCCCCGGTAGTCCCCCTCCCCCCTCAGGGTCCTGCCCCTTCAGGTGTGTCCCAGGTAGACGCGGTCGAGCCTGTCGAGGTCACTGGTGACTCTGGTGCTGCTGCGGGAGCTGAGCCTGGGGGTGCGGAGTCTGGGGGTGCTGAGACTGGAGGTGCCGAGTCTGGGGGTGCTGAGCCTGGGGGTGCTGTGCCTGGGGGTGCTGTGCCTGGGGGTGCTGAGCCTTGGGGTGCTGAGCCTGGGGGTGCTGAGCCTGGGGGTGCCGTGCCTGGGGGTGCTGTGTCTAGGGGTGCTGAGCCCGGAGGTGCTGTGCCTGGGGGTGCTTCGTCTCGCCGGGAGCCACTCTCCCCACAGGAGCTGCGTGAGTGGTTTGCAGGGCGCTGGAGGCGTGCTGCTGGTGCTGGTGGTTCTTCGGCTGCAGAGGGTACTGCTGCTGCGCGCCCCGCCGGCGCTCGTACTGTGGGTGCTGGAGCTGCTGAGTCTGAGAGTTCTCCTGGAGCTGGTCCTGCTGAGGGTGTTGGCGCTGAGCCTGCCGTTGGCGGCCCGACTGACAGTGCTCCTGGTGCTGCGGCTGGAGGTTCTGGAGCTTCTGGTGGTGCTGCTGGAGGTGCTGCTGGAGTGGGTGCTCCTGCCGGGGCTACTCGTGCTGTTCCTGCTGTTTCTAGCGTCGCCGCGCGGCCCCGACCGTACTTCGTTCCGCTCCTGCAGCAGGTTCTTGGTCTTACACCTCCTCCTCCTCCCTTAGAGGGTCCGCAGCCTGTCCGGTCACAGCCACAGCTACAGCCTGCCTCCCCTTTGCCTGCTCCTTCTCCCTACGCTGGTCCGACTGGAGGTCTTACTGAGCGTCGTGAGCCTGCGTCTCGTCCTGCGTCGCCTGTTCGTACTGAGCGCGCTAGTGGTCGCGGGTCGCGTCAGCGTCCTCCTCCTGTCCCTGGCACGCACCGGATGTCACTGCGTCCGTCCACTGCTCCTCTGCGTGCCCCTTTGCCTTCTCCTCCTACTTCCTCTCTTCCTGCTCTTGCCGACCCGGAGTCGGACTCTCTTCGTGCTGCCAGTCCTACTGTCACGCGTCTCCTGGCTACTGCTGTCACTGACCCCTCCTTCGAGTCGTCTGCTGCGTCTGCCCTTGTCACTGAGCTTGTCGACTTTGCTGCACGCTGTCGTCTAGACTACGCTGCTCGTCTTGTCACTGAGTCTGAGTCTGCCTGTCCTCCGTCCGTCGGGGGTGAGTGTGCCCTTGGCACGGACGTCCTTGAGGACAGGCAGGAGGAGTTCCAGTGTCTGGCCGCCGCTTCACCTCGTCTCGCGTCTGTACTGCTAGCCCCTGAGGGAGACCCGGATGCACCAGACATCCCGACTCCGCGCTCTTACGCGGAGGCGATAGAGGGTCCCTACTCCTCTCAGTGGCAGGCAGCTATGGATGCAGAGATGGCTTCCTGGAAGTCCACAGGCACCTACGTTGACGCTGTTCCCCCTCCTGGGGCGAACATCGTCAGTGGCATGTGGATTTTCAGGGTGAAGCGGCCGCCGGGTTCTCCGCCTGTCTTCAAGGCGCGTTACGTGGCTCGTGGCTTCAGTCAGCGGCAGGGGGTTGACTACTTTCAGACCTTCTCCCCCACCCCGAAGATGACCACTCTTCGGGTTCTGCTACACGTTGCTGCTCACCGTGACTACGAGCTGCACTCTCTCGACTTCAGCACAGCTTTCTTGCAGGGCAGCCTGCACGAGGAGATCTGGCTGCGTCGCCCACCTGGCTTCACTGGGTCTTTCCCTCCTGGTACCCAGTGGAGTCTCCGGCGTCCAGTCTACGGTCTCCGCCAGGCTCCACGTGAGTGGCACGACACACTGAGGACTACGCTCGCGGCACTTGGGTTTGCTCCTTCCACTGCCGACCCGTCGCTGTTTCTGCGCACCGACACCTCTCTGCCGCCGTTCTACATCCTCGTGTACGTCGACGACTTGGTCTTTGCCACAGCTGACACTGCTGGACTCGCCTACGTGAAGTCCGAGCTGCAGAAGAGACACACGTGCACTGACCTGGGTGAACTGCGCAGCTACCTTGGCTTGCAGATCACCCGGGACAGAGCACGCCGCACCATTACCCTGACTCAGTCACACATGGTGCAGCAGGTCCTTCAGCGCTTCGGCTTCACGTACTCCTCGCCTCAGGCCACTCCTCTGCCTACTCGCCACTCGCTCTCAGCTCTGCCTTCGGATGAGTCCGTAGAGTCGAGTGGCCCGTTTGCAGAGCTTGTTGGCTGCCTCATGTACCTGATGACCTGCACACGACCTGACCTCGCATACCCTCTTAGCATTCTCGCACGCTTTGTTGCTCCTGGGAGACACCGACCAGAGCACATGGCTGCAGCGAAGAGGGTGTTGCGCTACTTGTGCAGTACGTCGGGCATGGGGCTAGTGCTTGGAGGGCGCAGTCCAGTGGTCCTCACTGGGCACGCAGACGCTTCTTGGGCTGACGACCAGGCTACGCAGCGGTCGTCACAGGGTTACACCTCCAGCCTTGGTTCTGGCTCTGTCTCGTGGCGGGCTACCCGCTCGTCTTCTGTTCTCGGCTCCAGTTGTGAGGCTGAGATCTACGCTGGGGCTATGGCTGCACAGGAGTTACGCTGGCTCACCTACCTGCTGACCGACCTTGGAGAGCAGCCTCGTTCTCCTCCAGTCCTGTACGTAGACAACAAGGCCATGCTGGCCTTGTGTCGAGAGCAGCGACTGGAGCACAGAACGAAGCACATTGCTCTTCGCTACTTTCTTGCTCGTGAGCTACAGCAGCGTGGACAGCTGCGACTTGCGTACGTGGCCTCTGACGCCAACACTGCTGATGTCTTCACCAAGGCACTTGCGCCTTGTGATCATCAGCGTTGCTGCACGCAGTTGGGTCTTGTGCCTGTCTTGCCTCACTTGCTCTCCTCTTGACCTTGCTTGTACTTTCGCATATATATACTCTTGCTCTTGTATATCTCTATATATGATCTTGCATGTGAACTGGCCTTGTGGCCTTTGAACTTGTGCTCGGAATGCGTGGTGACTTTGTGATCCACCCTGAGCTTTGCTTTGCTTTGCTTGACTGGTCTTGTGACCCCTTGTTCTCCCCCACTTTGCCTATGGGGGTGTGTCAGAACTTATAGCTTACTTGTTTCTGTAGGCTATAGTGGGGTATCCCATAGGGGGTACAACCCAATTAGGGTTTCCTATTTGTACTCACTTCATTCATAGTCATCTCATTCTCGTTCTTTGTTTTCACACCTCCGTCATTTGCGTGTCCGGTGGTAGAGAGCGTTACAATTGGATTGATAGTCCGAAGGTTGTTAGTTCGAACCCAATCCCTGTGCTGCTTGACATTTTGTTTTTTTTACAAACAACATTCTTCTAAGTCAATAGAAAATTGGAGTCGACAACTGCCAATGACAAGTATCGAACCCGCATCCCCAGATCCCCAAGGGCTGTGCGGTGCAAGTTACTTTTGGGTCAAAAAACTCACTGACCCAGAACTGACCCTGATTTGACCACTAACGCCAATTTGACCCCAAAGAAACTCTGGGGGCATTTACAGGACAGGCTTGGGTCAGGCCGGAAGGTGGGTCACGCTAGGGTCAGAAACATTTTGGTGATGAAACTATTCGCGCTCATACGGACATCGTGTCACAGCTTGTATCTAGTGATGTATGCCTCGATCCGGGTTTATGACAACCGTTTCCGCTGAACGCTTGACCGTTTTTGACCGTTTCACCCACTCACAACCTACTCCCCACCCGCGCCTTTCCTGCCGTCCCCCCTTCGCAGTGCCCGTGAAATCAGCCAACCCGTTACAGGACGGGCTGGAAAAGCTTACAGCGGGGCTGCGGAGCAACAAGTATCATTACGCGGGTTTTCAGGCGAAGCTGAGGCAGCACCAAATGAACCGGTTGCGAAACGAAGCGAAAACATTCGTGAAAAGACAAGCCGCCCACAAAATGGCCCTTTACATTGGCTTGTACAGTAAGTCGCCGAATCACATTGGCCAATTACACAAGCTTGTTCAGGGAGCCGAGCGATCGCAGGCATGCGGAATATGTTTCCCGCCCCTTCTGAGTGACTTTTATGGTGACCGATGTGTGGTGCAACTTGCACCGAACGTGCCGATTGCGCCGGCATGAGGGGTAGGTTCAAACGTCCGTTCGTCCTCCTTGTGACCCTTGTGAGTAATTCCGGTCCAGCAATTCCTGGTGTAACGAACGAAGCAATGCTTGTGCCTACGCAAAGCAAGCCGCACACCAACGATGATAGACTGTACTATTTGAGTGCCTGCTTAAGCTAAGCAAGCATGGTCCGCAGGTGTTTCCGCTTGCAAAGCAAGCTGCGCGCCTAAATGAAGAGTAAAATGCCCAATGAGGGAGAAGGACCCAACAAGCAGGTTTGATCAAATAAAATTGAATCAGAACCAGCCTTCCCCCAATCCCTCGCTGTTCTTCCGCATTCCTCCCGCCTCCCCAACTCCGCCCATCGTTCCCCCCCCACCCCAACACACTCTCCCTGCCCTTTCCCGAACACCAATGCTCCAACATAGTGTGTGTCACGAGGAGGGGGGGGACTTGAGGGGTGGCACTGTTCGATCCACACTTGCACTCTCCTTCATTCCCTTGTGTTCCCCTTCCCTTGTGTTCCCCCTCCATACCCCTATCTTCCTTGCAGCGACCATAATTTGTGTCATGAGGGGGAGAGACTCCAAGGGGAACAAAATTGGGCAGGATAGGGCCTTTGGCTTTTACTTCATCCTCGTTTACAAGAGGTGCGCTTGTCGTAGCATGTGCGCTTGCTCAGAGCTACTCCATCCATCCTCAATGTAAAAAAAAAATGCTACCCCTTGTAGCATTACTTTATTGTTATAAATACCTCCTCCATCCTTGTTACTCAATATCCTTCCCCTCATCTCCCCCTCTTTTCCCCTTTTTTCACTCCCGCAGGAACGACGGTGATTTTGACGCTCATTATGGTGGCTTTGTGAAGGTTAGAGAACCTGGGTATCCCATAGCAGCTGTTATCAACACAGGCTATGAGGGAGAGGACGGGTCTACAGTGATCGATTTCGGCGACCAACATAACAAATGGCACAACTTGACCCGAACCATCAGCCTTGGGATCGTCTCGTGGTTCCCAAAATCTCCCGCTCCTCTCGGTTACAACTACGTGTTTCGCGGGTCGTGGGACGGAATAAGGTCGATGACTGCTGCTGATGGGTCGAACCTATTTGATGCAATCGAAGTCCTTACGCGGACAACTCAAAAGCATTACGGCTTGGCGGCGAATACTAACTACCCCAGCGGTGTCATTCGTGGCCAATGCGGGATCGACAGGTCAGGGTAGGCTTGTGATGGCTCACAGGTGACAGGGTAACCGCTGACAAGGTAGCCGCATGGGATGGGATCGGCAAATAACTGCTGGGGTTAGTCACTTCATGTGGGATCTTCAATGACTGGTTGAATCTGCAAGTTCAACGGCTAGTTGCTAGCTATTTGTCGTAGAGAAGTGGATTGGAAGAGGGTAACTGCTTGGGATGGGAAAATGACTGATGGGGTCAGTCACCTCTGGTGGAATCTCCAATTACTGGTTGGTTGGATTTGCAAGTGCAACGGCTAGTTGTTATGGTATGGGCTGTAGATAGGTGGTCAAGGGGAGGAGTTGGGTTAGGGTGGTTGGATATATCGCAGGGTACGAAACTGCAGCTACTGGTTGCTTAACAGTGTTGGGGGCTAAGTGCCTGCTCGCCCCATAGATGTTCCACATATGGAAAGTTCTGGACAGTAACTCACCACCAACTGTGATTAACTGTGCTGTTCAGCAAACAGATTTGCATCACGCTCTGAAGTGTTATACCACCAATGTTTCTGTTGCTGTTTGCGCATACCAGTACCGTAAAAACTTGTGATTCTGAGATACCACCTATCAAGGCCAGCAACGCCAAGAATACCCTACCCCCACCCAAAACATGTAACTAAAGCTACCACAGGACCAGTGTCAAATGCCACTATCCCAGCATATACGGCGCAAGGAGCATACTGTACCACAACAATTCAATATCCTATTCTGAAACACACAACCATGGAGGCAAGAAAGTCAATGCTGCAGTGTTAAACTGAGCAGGGGGGCACAACAAGAGGGAGAGAGGGTCTAGTGTCCCAACAAGGTTCAGCCAGAATGGTCACGGCCTCCCCCCGTCAGGCCTCCCCCTGTCGCCCCCCCCACCCCCCCCCGGTCAGGCCTCCCCCTGTCGCCGCCCCCCCCCCCCCCCCCCCCCCCCCCCCCCGGTCGGGCCTCCCCCTGTCGGACCTTCCCTGGTCGGGCACTCCCTGCAGTCAGGCCCCCCTCCCCTTTTTGAACCCTCCCCCTCCCCCCTCTGAACCCTCCCCTCCCCCCTCTAAACCCATGTGTATGGGTCCAGCAGATAAACCCATCCCCTCTGAAGCCTTCCCGTCCCCCTCTAAAGCCTCCTCCCCCTCCCCCCCCCTCAGTAGGGCTGCGGCCTCCCCATGTCGAAGTCCCTGCGGTCGGGCCCCCCTCCCCTTCCACCCCCCTCCCTCCCCCACCCCCCCTCTCCCTCCTCTTCCCCGACCCCCTCCCCTCACTTAGTAGGGACGCGGCCTCCCCCTGTCGAAGTCCCTGCGGTCGGGCCCCCCTCCCCCTCTGAAGCCTCCCCCTCCCCCGAACCCCCCTCGACCTCCCCTGAAGCCTCCACTGCAATGACACACGGGCACAGGACACATGGGGAGGGTTAAGTGGACGCGGAGAGTGGGAGAGCATGAGCAGTGAGGGAGGGAGTGAGGGAGGAGAGAGGAGCGAGAGAGGGGGGAGGAGCGGGGGAGGAGAGAGGAGCGAGGGAGGAGAGAGGAGCGAGGGAGGAGCGAGGAGCGAGGGAGGAGCGAGGAGCGAGGGAGGAGTGAGGGAGGAGCGAGGAGCGAGGGACGAGAGGAGGGAGATAGAGAGAGAGAGAGGAGCGAGGGAGGAGAGAGGCGAAGGGAGAGCGCAGTAAGGTAGAGTAACAGCAACAAATAGCAGCACAAGAAACAGTGAAGACCCTAAAGCATCACTTAGCCCAACTCGCCCCATAAGAATTCCACTCCCCACCACCCCAAAGCACTCATCCTCCTCACACCCCATCCTCAAAGTGCCACTCAACCCACTCACCCTTCTCCCACCCCCAATATCCTCGTCATCCCCCTCACCCCCTCGTCCCCCCTCCTTTCCCAAACACCCCCCCAAACCCTCAAGCCCCACTCACCCCCCTCGTTCGCCTCCTCCTCCCGGCCGCGGTGCCGACTTCTCTGCCATGCCCACTTTAATGGTACTGCCCACCCGAGAACCCCACCCACCCACCTCTCCAATCCCAATTAATATTCCCCCCTCAACCCACTGCCACTCACCCTCCTCGTCCGCCTCCTCCTCCCGGCCGCGGTGCCGACTTGTCCGCCATTCCCAGTGCTGCCACACAGACAAAGCGCGACTCAACCACTCTACCACATTCAACCCCACTCAACCCCACCCTCAACCCCAAATATCCCCCCCAAACCCCCAATCTGCCACTCACCCTCCTCGTCCGCCTCCTCCTCCCGGCCGCGGTGCCGACTTCTCTGCCATGCCCACTTTGATGGTACTGCCACGCAGAGTGTGACCTGAAATGGGGGGCAAGGGGGCAACGGGGGAGACGAGGGGGGAGGAGAAGGGGGAAAGGGGCGGCGAGGACACACAGAGGTGAGTTGTCCTCCTGGCCGTGGTGCTGACTTCTCTGCCATGCCCACTTTAATGGTGCTGCCGCGCAGGGTCTGACCTGGGGGGAAGAAAAGGGGGGATGGGGAGACAGAGGGATAGAGGTGGGGAGAATGGGGGGCGAGGACACACAGAGCTGAGTTTTCCTCCTGGCCGTGGGGCTAACTTCTGTGCCAAGCCCACTTTTATAGTGCTTCCACCCATGGTGTGGCCTCAGGAGGGGGAGAGCGGAGAGGAGGGGAGAAGAGCAGAAAAGGGGGAGTGAAAGGGGCACAATACTGATGGGAGGGAGGTTGGGGAGATATGGGAGGGAGGTGAAGAGATGGGGGAGAGGAGGAGGGGAGGAGGAAGCCGAGGGGGGACATCCCAAGCGCCCATCTCACCGTTGAAGAAGCCACCAGCGCTGTGGGCAGCCTGCGGGCCCTCGTAGGTCAGGCTAAGTTGGAATATACGCTTAACACCTTAAGCGTGCAGCGTATGTACGCTAGCGTACATACGCTATCCGCTATACGCTAGCAAATACGCTATACGCTCTTAGATTTATTTTAGAGCTGCCCAAAAAAAAGAATCGCAAAAAAGATGCGGATTTCCTAGGTGAGCATTTCGCCGTAGTCGAAATTCAAGTCCGCAGTCTAGGCAAACGGGGATCTGACTTCGAAGTCGTCAGGCAAATGTTGGATTTCAGATCCCATCTAGGCATTGAAATCCATCCCTTCTACCGCATTGAACCCCACTCTATCTACAAACTCCAACCTGTCAAAATTTCCCAAACAACAAATCTCACGGTACTTACCACCCAGCCCTGTGGCTAAACCTAACTCGTCATTTCGTTCCCGCTTTCACCAGAGTTCACGCTTCTTCCCTTTCTTGCTATTATGGTTACTCCACCTCCAATTGCACTCGTCATTCGGATTCAGGATTATGCAAGGGCAAGCCTTAGTGAGAATAGGGAGTACTTTTATTTCACCCTGCCCGGAACGTTTTTTCTCTGCCCGAAAAAGCGTTTCTCCAAACCGAACCCCTAAGCGGATAGCGTGTATACGCTAGCGTATATACGATGCACGAATATACGCTGTACGCGTATATTCCAACTTAGAGGTCAGGACACCGTCGCCCTTGTTCTGCCCCCTCTCATCCGTGTACAGCTTCACACCTTCAACCACACACACTCTCTTAGAGCAACCCACCAAGCACCCCAACCAACCCACCAAGGAGGGTCCCAGGGACACCCATCTCACCGTTAGAGAAACCACCGGCGCTGTGAGCTGCCTGTGGGTCCTCGTAGGTGAGCACGCCGTCGCCCTTGTTCTGCCCCCTCTCGTCCGTTCGTGTATAGCTTCACGTCGAACAGCCTTTTGCACACACCGTCTTGGAGCAACCACAAGCACCAGCTCACCGTTGAAGAAGCCACCGGCACTGTGAGCTGCCTGGGGGTCCTCGTAGGTGAGCGAGCACACCGTCGCCCTTGTTCTGCATGTCCCCTCTCATCTGTGCATAGCTTCACGCAGCTTCAACCCCACACGCACGCTTGGAGCAACTACAAGCACCCCAACCCACCTAAACCCGAAATCTCACCATTGAAGAAGCCACCAGCGCTGTGAGCTGCCTGGGGGTCCTCGTAGGTGAGCACGCCGTTACCCTTCTGCCCGCTCTCGTCTGTGTAAAGCTTCACGTTGAACGGCCACTTGCACACACCCTCTTAGAGCAACCACAAGCACCAGCTCACCATTGAAGAAGCCACCGGCGCTGTGGGCGGCCTGTGGGTCCTCGTACGTCAGCACGCCGTCGCCCTTGTTCTGCCCCCTCTCGTCCGTGTACAGCTTCACGTTGAACGGCCACTGGTCCTTGTACCCGCGCTTCTGCTTGATGCGCGCGATCTGGGCGCGCGGAGGGGAGGGGAGAAAGGGGAAAGGGGAAGGGGGAAGAGGGAAGGGAGAAGGGGAAGAGGGAAGAGGGAAGGGGGAAGAGGGAAGGGGACGGGGGGAGGGTCGAAGGTTAGCCATCATTGGTCAGGACGCCGTCGCCCTTGTTCTGCCCCCTCTCGTCCGTGTAGAGCTCCACGTTGAACGGCCACTGATCCCCCCCCCTATCAATCTTGCTTTCATCTGAATTACTACTTCGCTCCTTCTACTCTTTTTTGCTAATTCGTTTCTTTCTTGACCATCCGCGTACGTGGTACACCGATATGAGTCATGAGAGCCCTCCTTTCATCCCGCCATCCGAAACCCCTTAAAACCCTCTTCTAATTACTTCATCCCTACTTAACCCCTCATCACCGCTCACCACGCCTCACCACCAGTCACCACCCCTCATAACCACTCACCATCCCAATGCCGCCGAACAGGTTGCACAGCTCGTCAACGGTGACGTCCTTGGGGAGCCCGGAAATGTAAATCCGCGCGTTGTCGCAATCCGGGGGGCAGTTCTCGTCGCACTGCTTCACCCCCGGCGCTCCCCCCCCGCCCCCGCTGTCGGCCCCGGCGTCCTCCCCATATCCCCCTCCTCCCCCGTATCCCCCGCCCGCGGAGCCCCCTCCCCCTCCGCCACCGCCCCTGTCGTCCCGCGCATAGTCTCCCCCACCGCGCCCGCCATAATCACTGCCCCCCCGGCCCCCATCCCCACGCCCCCCGTCGCGGTCCCCTCCGCGAGACCCGTAGTCCCCGCCGCGCCTGTCATCCCTCCCACGCCTATCGTCCCCCCTTCCCCTGTCATCTCTCCCGCGGTCATCACCCCTCCCCCTGTCGTCTCCCCTGCCCCTGTCATCCCCTCTCCCGCCACCGTAGCGATCCCCCCCCCTGTCGTCGCCTCTCCCACCCCCGTAGCGATCACCCCCCCTGTCGTCTCTTCCGCCGCCATACCGATCCTCCCGCCCGCCGCCGCCGCCGCCCGCGTCGGCGGGGCGCGCAGAACCGCACTTGAAGCACTCGGCGCGGCGAGCAAAGTTGCTGTTACCGCAACTGCAGTGGAAGGAAACAGGAACGAGGAACGGCGAACGGGCGCATGGGCGAACAGAGAATGGGAAACGGGAAACCGCGGACGGGGAACGGGGGAAGGGGGAAGGGGGAACGGGTGAGCAGAGGATGGGGAGCCGGAACGGGGAACAAGGACCGGGAGAACGGAGGATGGGGGAACGGGGAACAGTGGACGGGGAACGGGGGAACGGAAAACCGGGGAACGGGTAACGGGGAACGCGAAACGGGGAAAAGGGAACGGAGAACGGGGAAAGAAATGCCGGAACTACCGCTATTTATCCTAGAGGCGAGTGGAGCACCGTTAACTGGCTAAGTTTTACCCTCACAAAGCCTATACTTCAAGTTATCTCCGCAATATTCACAAAGCCCACGCATGTGCAATCCTACGAACAGACACTGTGCTCAAGATCGGAATTTCCCCTCGAAATAATCACAACGCTAGCGTACGGCTACACCCCTTCACGATAGTCACCACCCGGGGAAACTCACCCCGGGCAATCCCAGTCGCCGGGGCGAGGGGGCGGAGCCCCCCGCCCGCCTCCTCCGCCATACCCTCCGCCTCCGCCTCCGCCGTAGTCTCCGCCTCCGCCACCCCCGCCGGCTCCGCCAGGACGCGCGGTACCGCAGCGATTACACTCGGAGCGACGTGCGAAATTGTTGTTACCACATCTGCGAAGAGAACACCACAGGCGCAGACGACGGTGAGAGGTTGAAGAAACGGGATGCAGGAGAGAAACAGCATTCAGCGAGCTGAAAGAAGAGGACGATTAATTTATGATGGGGAAAGGTATAACGCGGAATATGATCGCTGGTGAAACAGGCGGAATTGAATGGCGCCTGAACGCAGCTGCTATTGCGCGTTTTTTTAAGACAGCAACCGCCTCACTCTATAGCGTCTAATAGACGCCTCGATACTACTTACAGCGGTGGTATATTAGAGCGAAACCTATGCTAATAGAAAAAAGCGCGATGAAACCTACCTGATTCAAAGTGAGAAAATTCGAGCAGACCACCCCGGGAAACGTCCAAGCAACCAAAAACCTTTCGCCAACCCATGCGACAGTCGCCATAGCGATGCGAACACCACGTTACAGATTGCGAGCCACGACCGGCATTGGAGGAGGTGGTGGTTACTAAAAAGCTAAGGGCGGTCCGTACGATGGGTTCGGGCACAGCCAATCACCGTCGCCTCGACCTCCTCCGCCTCGTCCGCCGAACCCTCCGCGGCCCCCGCCTGGGCGATTCGATCGAGGGTTCCACGCCATGGAAATAACGGAGGAAGGATGGCATGTGAAGTCAAGCAGAGAGAGACAGAGAAAAGAAATGGGAATGCCGATGAACTTACGCTGCAGATCTGATGTGTGAGAATAAGATTTAGGGATGAAAAGCCTCCTAGATGTTCTATTGTTTCTGTAAGACCAGATCTGTGCTTTCCGACGCAGAAAGAAAGAAAACAATCGTTTTGAAAGGAAGTAATTTTTTATCTTACAGGAGGGAACTGCTAGCAGTGTGATATCTTACCTCCGCCATACCCGCCTCCCCCTCCATATCCCCCTCCTCCTCCTCCACCCCCACCACCTCCTCCATCGCCGTAGCCCTGGTAATCGTACCCAGACATCGCTGCTGGTCCACGAAACGGCTGTATGCGATGCTAAAATCAGTCACCCACAGCACGTCAGTGAACCCTAGACGGAGCAGAAATTACCTAAAATGCTAGTAGGGTTTCCCCTAATTCAACGAGGTGGACCGCTGATAAGTCTGATCCTCCATTCACTTCACATTCACACCCAAATCCTCAAGTCAGTCTGGGAGCCATTTTCCCGCCAAGTGTACAACCCTCCGATTGGGTTTCGGGATTCAGGGATTTGTCAGATGGCAGGCAGCGACTGGCAGAGGGGTTTGTGGTTGTGGTTGATAGCGATTGTGGTGCAAAAGTCGTGTTTTGGTTACGTCGCATGAAAGGTAATGCAGTTTCAGGCCAGGCTAATGCAAGAACGACGCAATTTGTATCGCGTATTTTGGGAATGGCTGCTTGCTCCGACAGCGGAAACTGGCCAACAACCTGACGGTTTTGCCCAGCACCTGATTTTGCCAGCGGTTCATACAGCAACACACTGAACCGTCCAATTTATCGGAGTTGCTGCCGGCCAGACCATCCACCCACTGGCAAAATGTGGCATTGCGAGCCGATCGCATTCGTAAAGCCATTGGCGCTATTCTGTAGGCATTAAAATTTCCAAAAACTGGGTCCGCAGAATCTTCGTTGATAAGTGGTCTTCTGCCTATCAAGGTTTGGTGATAAGAAAGGTCCTGCCGAACCTGTTTTCTCCAAATTTAACGCTTCAGCCTGCAGAACGCCACTTTTGCGGCGCACGAATTTAACCGTCTGCAGGTTCGAATTTGTTGCTTCGCCGAGCAATTAGTGCACAACTGATGGTCGCACAACTAGTGCGGTGCTAATTCTGGCGTTGTTCTGCACCAATTTAGGGCTCCGCACCAATTTGACTGCGGTGGCCTTCCGTGCATTTTCTAGGCGCATTCATGCTGGTTGCGTTGCACGGATGTTGCTGCCTCGCATAACATGTGCGGAGGCTGAAGCTAGCTCCCGAGGTAGAATTACCACCGCACTAGTTGTGCGGCCATTTTCCCGGCGAAGCAACAACTTCGAACCTGCAGGCTGTTAAATTCGTGCGCCCCAAAAGTGACGTTCTGCAGGCTGATGCGTTAAATTTGGCGCAAACAGGTTCGGCATGACCTTTCTTATCACCAAACCTTGATAGGCAGAAGACCACTTATCAACGAAGATTCTGCGGACCCAGTTTTTGGATTTTTAACGCCTACAGAACAGCGCCTCTACCTCGGGAGCTAGCATCAGCCTCCGCACATGTTATGCGAGGCAGCAACATCCGCGCAACGCAACCAGCATGAATGCGCATAGAAATTGCACAGAAGGCTACCGCGGTCGAATTGGTGCGGAACCCTAAACGCCTGCAGAACAACGCCTTTGTGTAACGGCTTTCGTCGAAAAAATACACCTTTACACTTGTCGGCAGAAGCCGTGTGATGTGAACGGCGAAACATTCCAAAACGCACACACATGTTTCATGCGTGTCGCAGGTCACCGCCGTTTGTCACATCTCACCCCCAATCTTCTGCTCCCTAGCACTTGTGGGGTTCGTTAGGAGCATGCGTGCATTTGCGAAACGGGAAACCCGGTTCGCATGCCACCCATGACATTCCATGCCATGAACAGTCTCGTGCGGCTTGTGATGAACAGAATGAACGGGTTTTCACAACCGATGACCAGGCCCACTACATTTGAAAGGAGGCGTTTCAAAATCCTTAGGAACTTGAAAAGTTGCCCCAAAACTGTGAGGCACACTGTATAAACCCGAAATCCCGTTGAGAAATGTAAACTGGAGCTCGACAGAAATCATGACTTCGGACATTGATTACGGTAGGTGGAAGGAACTCATGAGCCCAGCATAACACTTCTCAGGCCTCGTAAGAAATTCGGGGGTTCTTTCATATTCACCTGGAAATCCACCAAACTTGTAAGGAAATTCCCTTTTCCTTACTTCGCGTCCCTGCTCAACGCGTACATCACTATAGCACCTCAGTCAGCACCGTTACCACTCGCGACCATTGCATCATTCATCATCCCGCCCTTTTCGCACATCGCATCCCGACCTCACGGCTCGGCTGGTAACCCGCGCTCCGGACCTACGCTTCGACACTTTCCCAACCTCAGTCCCAGGCTCGTCGCGCGACCATTACCGTTACTACTGTAGTTTCGCTATATAATGTTCGCTCATGCCTTCGCTCATTTGTACTCTTGCTTCGATAGTGCAATTCTCGTTCGTTCACTCAATTGCACTCGTAACACTTGGTATTCAGAGCCTACGATCTCATCTCGGACCGCATCCACACCTTCGCTTCCCACTATCTCAATTTTTTGGGGGGGTAGACGTCTCTCAGCGACACAGCACCGCCGCTCGTAGTGCTCTCTCGAAAGCACGCACGGCCACGACCGAGGCTCTCGCTGAGCTTGCCCGACACCCCCGCCATGGCCGATTTCAATCTCGCCACGTTGACGCAAGAGCAACTCGATCGTCTCGTGCGTCAATTGGAGGATTCGGCGCTCGAAATCGCGACCCTCACGGCGGAACGTGACTCCGCCCGTCAACAGTCAACGGTGAACGTACCGACGACATCACGCGCATCAACCAATGCATCTGCACATTCGGAGGAGCCCATTGTCATCTCATCTGGCACACCAACGCAACACAACAGCACGGGACAGCGCTCAGGCGCAGCCAGTGACGGCGCAGCCCAACCGATGCCCGGCATGGGAGGGAACAGGAGCGCATTAAGCCCACGGGAGCCCCGAGAAGCCCGTCGGCACGTGGAGTTTGCGGCGACAAGTGGCGAGAACGCCATGATGGCCCCAATGCCACTCAAGCCGCAACGCCCGCCCTGCTTCGACCCAAGCCAACGCGGCGGCCCGACAGTTCAATCGTGGGTCTTCACGATGAATGTGTTTTTCGACGCCAACTACGTCGAGTCGGACGCCGCCAAGATCCGGTATGCGGTTTCACTACTCAGGGGCCCCGCCATGGACTGGTGGCGAGTCATTGTGACGTCGCCGCGCGCCTACGAGCCACCGTCGCACGAGGAAGGGCCCTCGGGTCCAGCTGTTACCTGGAGTTCGTTCTGCGAAACCGCCCAATACAGCACGTGGGATGCGTGGTGCGCAGGGCTTCGGGCGCGCTTTGAGCCGATCGCGGCCTCGATTTCGGCGCGTCAGAAACTGCGCACTTGGCGCCAGCTCGGGTCAGTTCAAGACTACACCAGCGGGTTTCTCGCACTTTGCGAACAGGTCGGCTACATGCACGAGGCGGAGCGGGTGGACCGTTACGTCGGAGGGCTGAAGCCGGACATCTCGCACGAGATAATGCTACGCGGGCTCTCGAATTTCAACGAGATCCTCGCGCTCGCCGAGAAAATCGATATCCTACGCCGACCGAGACCGAGGTCCTATTAAGGACATCGTCCTCGGGGACCGACCGAGCACGCCACTGTACATGCCGTCGCAGCGAATGCAGCTGCCGCGCCGTTTAGAGGGCGCTGCTTTGCTTGCAACCGGCCGGGCCATCGCAAGAGCGAATGTCCAGAGGAGCTGAGGCGTCGAGGAGCAGAGCAGGGGAGGGAGTCTCGGAGGCAGGGAAACGCCAGCAGTCAGTAGAAGTTGGGCCAACTACTGACGAGACTGCCTGCTCGCCCAACCACACCGACCCTCACCGAGTCACAGTACCGATTCACGCCATCGATTGGGCTCGGATGAATAAGGAGGGTACAGCGACGGATTGCCCGGT